AGGTGTAAATTTAGAATGTGTGGGCGCTATCAAAACAAAATGGGGCCTTCTGGAAGAATCTATGACCCTCAGGAGGTACGGGGTGGGAGATTGCTCTCATTGAAAGCTACTCTGGATCTGTTCCTTTTCTTTAGCTTTCTTGGGTTCTTTGACGGCATTTCTGCCATCCACCTCCCTCCCACTCCCACACTGGCATCTGACACTCCCAGGTGTTGGATTGATTGGCAGACGATTGGATTAGATAACCAGCGTCAGACATATTAAAATCGAAAACTATACTGGGGCTCCTGGGTGACTCAGTCGGTTAAGCGTCTGACTCTTGGTTTTGGCTCAGGTCATGATTTCAGGGTTATGAGATCGAGCCCCCCTTGGGGCTCTGCACTTAGCAGGGAGTCTGCTTGAGGATTCTCTCTCTCTCTTCCTCTGCCCCTCTCCCTACTCACACTATCTCTCTAAAATAAATAAATAAATCTTTAAAAATAAAATAAAAAGCTATAGACTTGAATGTCATTAGTATCATTTCTGGATTTTAGTTGGACTGTATCAGGATTAATAAACAATCTCTTCAAAGAGTCAGTTATCCTTTCTCCAAATTGGTTTCTGGAATTCTTTCCAATCTTTGACTTTTCTGTTCTCCCATTTGGAAACTTGATTGTTTTTCACATCTTTCTTTTCCATGGATTTTTATGTCCTCTTTTCTGTTTTCACCCCTTCTTCCTGCCCATAGCTTGCACTTCTTTTTCCTATTTTCTAGGTACTACATACTTTGATACTTGATAATACTTGACTCACTGTTGTCTCAGTATTTGTTCTAGAGAAGCTTACAGATCTCTGTACACTTATCCTTAATGTGCCTTCAACCTCCCCAGAATGTAGATTTAATTTTCCATATAAATTCTTAAGACATTAACACTTTCAAATACCTAACTTCTATTTTTTCCGTTACACTTTTAGACAGGCAAAGCTGGCTCTCCGTGAAGTACCACCCCTCTCCCCAACTTATTATCACTTTTGGGATCCAGGTGGAACATACAATTGATTAATTATTTCATCTAAATCATTCAGGTATCATTAAAAAATTAACGTCCATATTCTAATCTAGTGGTTTTCAATTGAGCTCAGTCCTAACCATTGTTACTACTATCATTTGAAAAAATAATTTGGTTATTCTACGACTTGGACCTCAAAAATGAGAATTTTTAGAAGGGTCACAGCAGATCTAAAATCTGATTTCAGAATGAGAATTTTCATTTTTGTTTTGGAATCCTCAGAACTTTGTATATGTTTAACTTCTTAACTAATGTCGTTGTTTGGGCTTAGTTTATTAAGACCCCCTAATTACTTATTTCATTACATAATTACATAGTTCTAAAGCCCTAAATTTAGGATTTGCTTTTATTTATTTTGCCATTTTTAGGTGCTTCTATCCTACTATATGTATTGTTGGCATTCTCATTTCATTTAAAAATGTTCATCTTATTTTGATAATCTTTTAAAAAATTGGCTCCAATTTAATTATTTTCCATCTTCAAAAGCATCTTAAATAAGTAATATCTGTAGAATGTGCTAATTCATTAGAACTAAAGTATTTATAATCTTACAAAGAACTTGATAAAATTCTGAGACTAATCTGAACATTTTTATTTTACTTTAATAGGTGAGAAAATATCCTTTGTGCCATTGGTTCATCATTTTATAAAATACTTACCATGAGCGATTTTACTTTTTATGGTTGGCTATAGGAATGTATAATGAAGTATGATTATAGTTTTTTTCATGTGTAGTCTTTTGCCTGTGAGTCTGGGTCCTTATATTTCTTAAGCATGTAACTATACAAGGGCACACATGCCATTTTTATGCTCACATCAAATGTAAAATTCATTCAAACTAACAAAAGCTAGCTGATTGGGAGAGGTGTGGACACTGAACAAAGGAGACAAGTACCACATAGAGCTTGTACGGAGTGTGTGGTGTGGTATCATTTGTGGGCTGAAAGGTAGCTTAGCATTTCCATTTTGGTGTCAGTCCCTGGGGAAGGACAGGGTTTCATAATGGGGTGTGATCTGCACTCTTAGTAAGCGTGATTGACACTGAATGATTAAATAGAAGAGGAGAATAAATACCACTCCTCCCCTTTTAAGACTAAGCACATATCCACTGAATGCAAATCTTTTCAGTGTGGAAGACAGTCTGGCCTAATGATAGCACATATCTGAAAAGCTAGGAGAGTGAATTAAAGGAGTAGATCAAAATGCAAGGAAACAAAAAATTATACAGTATCCTTAAAAAATAACATTTAAAACCCAAATGTAATGGTAAGTGCACGTACAGAATATGATGGAAGACCCCATTTGTAAAAGTGGAATCCTGACATGAGGCCCTTGGTAAATGAGTGGGCAAAATGGATCCCTGAATTGGATAACACAGCGCATACCACAGTGACGGATGAAATTGATGTGTCCGCAGGAGAGCTTGTTCTATTACTGTAGGCTTTAACCTATTTTCTCCTCTTCGACAATGAGCTCCTGAGTGGATGTTATCCTCAAGGAAGTGAATTTAATTCAAAAGGAGATATTTTATAGATGTGCAAAATTTAATTTAAGAATTCACTTAATCCATTGTAGAAGAGAACTATGTGGGAAAATATTATGATAAGTAATATGGTTATATTTTTCAAAGATGCCATTTTTGAGTGTGTTATTTGGGGGACCCGAATTTCAATCATTCGTTGGTAATTTGTATTGTTCTTTAATTTTGCATTATCTCTTAGAACACATGGCTGAAACAGTATTGAATCTGGATTGTAATATTATTTCATTAATTTATTATATTAAGGTATGTAATTGCACAATAAATAATCAGAAAAAGTGGTTTCTTTGTTCTTCCCTTAAATTTTTGAAAATATGATGCATTCCTTTTCCCTGGGATAAATACTTGTTAATTATTGCAAAGAATAAAAGCCCATTTTGTGAATCCATTTAATTCTAAAATCTGTAAGGTAATATTGGTAACTTAAGAAATAGGCCATATTTACCCTAGTTTCTGCCAGGTAAAAACAAAACAAAACACAACACAACAACAAAACATTCTTCATACCTTGACCCAGAAAATAGAATACTAATTATCCTACATACACTGCTCAGTAGGTTAGTAGTAACTTAGTCGTTTGTCTTTGAAATATATGGTAGTATAAGTTGTTAAGCTTGCTATTCTCTCTCTCCCTCTCTCTCTCTTTCACACACACACACACACACACATACACACACACACAAATGTAATTAATTATAATTATTTTTTGTCATTATAGTCTTCCCATCCAAGTACTAACCAGGCCCGACCCTGCTTAGTTTCCGAGATCAGACGAGATCGGGCGCGTTCAGGGTGATATGGCCGTAGACTGTCATTATAGTCTTAAGTTGATGCTCACTGTTACCACTTATTTGCTATCTTTTTAAAAAATGTTGTGACCTATCGTCTGAGTTTCATATTAAGAATTATGGAGTCATAAATGTATTTTAAAATAAATTTGAAATAGCTCTTAAAACATTTCATTTGGAGACAAAACAAGCAAATTCTGTACTCAACAAGTAGATTAAAAACCTTTGTAAGTATATACAATATTATTTTCTCCACTTGTTTTGAATGTAAAATTTTCAAAGAAAATCTGACTGAAATTGAGCAAACACATCATTCCCAAATAATTTACTTGTTCAGCTTTTAGAAACTAAGATTTTCAGACATCTCATACAAAGCCAGCCCCCAGTGTGTATTCAAATATTAAGGGTAGATTTAGGTTTATTTCAATTTAGAAGAATTTACCCGAAAGGAGAACTAATTTCTTACAGAGGGAAAAGAAAGTAAATTCTTCCCATCATTGAACTTGATGCTACCTTTATTAACCCAATCTAAGTATTTAGAAGCTTTTTATAGTTTGTTCTGATTCAGATACTTACTGTATTGCTCTAAAATTACTTGGTAATTTGCCAGATATCACTCACCATAGACATCTGACTTCTTATATATCAAATTGCACTTCATTACTTAATTTGTACAAAGGAAAAAAACTTTCCAGTTCAACTGGTTTCCACAGTCAACATAACACGCAAAGAGATGTTAAAGAAATGAAATTTAATTTGGTCTACAATTTTCTTAATTGCGGAGTGCATTGCCAGTGCCTACTATATGTCAACAGCTTTATTTTTTAACTGACTTCTTTTTAAAGCTAGCTGGTTGTTTTTTGTTGGACACCGGCTGCCCTCTAGTGGACTACACTGTTCTCTTAAAAGAACCTGTCAAGTCTGAAAAAAAAGTCATTTCTATATGGAAGTGACTAGTGTTTCGTACTAGACTAGTACTCTTGTTTTTCATTTACTGTTGTGTTTAGCACAGCTAGCTTTATCACTTTGTTAGAGCATTTTGGTGAAGACGGGCTTAGAAGCAGCTTTGATTAAAAATAGCATTACAGGGGCGCCTGGTGGCTCCGTCGGTTCAGTGTCTGCTTCGGCTCAGGTCATGATCCCGGGGTCCTGGGATCGAGCCCCGCATCAGGCTCCCTCTCTGCGGGGAGCCTGCTTCTCCCTCTGCCTGCCGCTCCCCCTGCTTGTGCTCGCTCTCTCTCTCTGACAAATAAATAAAATCTTTAAAAAAAAGATAGCATTACATACTTATTAAGAGGACACATTAAAATAGGCTGATCTCGGGGCGCCTGGGTGGCTCAGACGGTTAAGCGTCTGCCTTCGGCTCAGGTCGTGATCCCAGGGTCCTGGGATGGAGCACCACATCAGGCTCCCCGCTCAGCGGGGAGCTTGCTTCTTCCTCTCCCTGTGCCTGCTGCTTCCCATGCTTGTGCTCTCTCTCTCTCTGTCAAAAATAAATAAAATGTTATAAAAAAATAAAATAGGCTGATCTCAGTGACAATTTGTATATATTTTTTTGATTTAGAACGCATTTTATGACACATGCTCCCCGCTTCTGAGACGTTTCCATTATTCTTGTTGCAGATGCTACAATTGTGGTGGCCTTGATCATCATGCTAAGGAATGTAGTCTACCTCCTCAGCCAAAGAAGTGCCATTACTGTCAGAGCATCGCGCACATGGTGGCAAACTGCCCACATAAGACTGTGGCGCAGCCGCCCGCCAGTTCTCAGGGAAGACAGGAAGCGGAAGCCCCGCCATGCACTTCGACCTTTCCTCGAGAGCTGGGCGGAGGGCACGGCTGCACGTCACCGCCGTTTCCTCAGGAGGCGAGGTTCGAGATCTCAGAATGGCCAGGCAGGTCATCTCAAGAAGCTTCCTCGGCGAAGTCCTCCGCGGCGCCGGAAGAACCAAGCAAAAAGGGGCCTTCTGTTCAAAAAAGGAAAAAGACATAACGCTTCTTCCTAATGTATCGTTTTCTTTCCCCGGTTGGGAAGTCTACCTCATGCAAGTACAGGGGAGCAGTATTTCACAGCAGCAGCTGACTGGGGATTTTTAACTACTGTTGAGGAACTGTGAATTTTTTTAAACAGACAAATCACTCTAAGCAAATTACATTTGAGCAGGGTGTCATGTTTTATGTTATCCAGAGAATGAAATACTATGTGTATCTGTATGTGCATGTGTGAGAGGGAGAGAGCCTGAGTGTGCGTGTGTGTCGGAGGAGTCGGTATAAGACTGTAGACACATCTCTAACGCGCATTTGTCTTTCTGTATGTGTGTCTATAGATACAAGCACACACCCTCCCTCACGGAATTGGACGTCCCCAAGAATTGAAAACCCATAGGAAGCATTTTAGATGGCTTCAAAGATAACCCCTGGAGTCTTTTTTTCTTGAAATACCACTCCCTTTATATTACATAAAAATAAAAACATGACTGTTACCTTTTGTGTGAACCAAAGGCTACTTCAGATCTCAGAGCTGCCAATCATATGGTACTAAAGGTTTTAAGTCATCAGTTCTCCCAAGTTTGGGATTGCCTCTTTTTCTTGATATCTGTAGGGTGTTTCCCCCTTACCCCAACCCCCGTTGAAGGCAGTACCTTAACTCCACATGCCTCTGACTGCTATAAGCTTTTTTGAATCTGGGATACATAACTCCAGAAAAAGACAATGAATGTGTAATTTCTGTGCCGATATGTCCGTGTTTTTAATTCATAAGTTTTGATTGTAAATTAGATGCCTGTTCAGAAAAATGAAGGGGGAGGGCAATGTATAAATGTAGTGACTTGTTTTCTTGATGGTTTTCAGTGGTATTTTGATACCAGCTCATTATAATCTTTTACATGTTGTGAAGTTTTGAAGGGATTGTGGCAACAGCAGCTTCCCTTGACGAAGTCAGTCCAAACCATCCCTTCGAGCAGGGGGCCTCCTTGTTTACTACTGAAGACTTTGGAGGAAAGCTCCAGTCGTTTGGTGTATTTTTTTGGTGGCTGTTTTTTCCCCCCTAGAGAGTTATCTGACTTGCTTCTAAAAACAGCACAGGTAAGAATAAAATGCTGGGGTTGAGAATGAAAATTAAGTGCATGTTCATAATTGCCCAATACGTTCGCCCTGTGAAGGATATTGAGAAGTGCAGCGTTTGGTGGCGGTGGTGGCAGGCAGTGGAGTGATGGGCCTGCGGCGGAGGTGCCCAGCCTCTCCCACCAGAGAGCAACAGGAATTTCATACATCAAGATGAATTTGATGGAGGTTCCCTTCATTACTCATGCTGAAGTAACCGGCATGGTGGATTTAGGTTGGACATTCAGTAATGGGGTTAGAGATGCTTTTCAGGTTGGTCCTCAGTTATGTGAGTAAACCTGGGACCTGTCCTCGGTTTCAGTCATTTAAAGAAAAGGTTGGTGTCCTCCTGGTTTCTAGATGTTATGGGTAAATTTCTGAAACATCTCCAAGAAGGTACCAATTAGTTAAAATGCTTAACATTGGCAATAAGCAAGGTTTCGTATGAGCCTGTTGGTGTAAGCTCAGATAATCAAAAGAAGAGAAGAGCATGAGTCAAATGAGACCTATTCTGCTGGGCAGCTTCTGCTCCCTCCCCAACTTGTCCTGCCTTGGGGGGTATTAGACAGTTCCTGCTGTTTGAGCAAGCCCACATCAGGAGGAAATGCCTCAGGCTGGGCCGCCAGTCCTTGACCGCTCAGCTTGAATTCCGGGACAGTGTTTGTGAGACTCTCCATGGTGTATTCTGAAATATCCGTGTGCTGTGATGCAAAGCTTACCTTTGACGATATTGAATGTGATATATAGCTATAGAGAAGTACTTCCTTGCCTTATGTGAGGATTGTAAGCTTATTTAAATTATGTAGACAAATCAAAGTGGCATTGCTTAATTTTTAGCAGGCAAAATAAGCAGGTTAACGGTAAAAATGCAAAACATAATAAGTCACTTTGAAAATTCAAACCAAAGTTCCTTGACCTTATAGACATAGGAAATTATGGACTTGAGAATTGGACATTCCCTGTTTACATATAAAAAGTTCAGAGCTAAGATCATGGTTAAAAAAAAAAAAAGCATTTTATAACTGGACCTTATGGGTGCAACTTAAAATCATTTTAAGCATCTTACCAGACTGAACTAAGAGCACATACCAAACCTATCTTATGATTAAAAGCTGGGTTTATTTTTTATATAAAAATATTATCACTATTACATAACATACTCAGGACAAAGAACTTTGCTCAGGGAACATACCATATAATGTTGTTGTTGTTTCTTTACAGAATAGTCTACAGTCCTGCTTACTCAAAACAAACCAAATAACTTAGACCTTTATATAAGTATTATGTACTGATGTTAGTCATAACTACCTCTGAGTTTGATCAAAGTTTCCAAATATCAGATACCAGTTTTCCTATTTTTATTTCCCGTGAAAAGTACGCTAAAGCAAAATTCCCAAACTCCTTGCATATGTGAATATCACTGATGTGAGCACATGTCCATTTACATGGGTGAAATATTCTGTTTACAGCAAAAGGCTACCTCATAGTTTATGCATAGCACACCTTTATGCTGCTCCAGCCTTACAGTGGCTGATAATTCTCTGGTACAGAACCTTTTAATCTATATTATAGATAGCAATTCACAACTATATGTTTCTAACAAACACTTGTGAATAATGATGCATCTCACTTAGTTAGCAAAGTCTCCAAGCATTTCTTTAAAGTTATCATGTATTTAATTTAAAGACTTATGGGCACCCTTCCACTTAAGCAAAACAAAACCCAGAGGCGATCTTGGAAATAGCTGCTTTGCCCAGAGGTCAAGGGCAGGAAGGGGTAGCAGGAGAAGAGGTTGGTGTATGAGTGTATTTATGCTGGGCAAAAGTATAAAGGATGCCAATCTCCATTTTTGTGTCTGTGCTGCCCTGAGGCCAGGCATAGTTCAGCATTATTGCCATAGGCACATAACTAACTAGCGCTGGCTTGCCAAGGAGTGAACATAGAGTAAACGTGCAATGCCATTTCTAGCTACTGAGGAGAAGGGTCTGTGTGAAGCATCAGTTTACAGGGGTTACTAATGGGTTGGGCAGGAGGTCTGTGAATTAGTTGCCCCTTGATCTCACCCCCATGTCAACACAAATGTAATTCCTAAGAAAGATGCGCTACCAGTCTCTTAGCCCTGGGAGCTATTTATTACTACATGGCAGATTATAGTAGAAACCTTTTTATACTTGCATTTCCAGTCTTTACTAGAAGACTTTGGATGTATTTTTTACAACTGAAACATTTTAAAAGATTTTTACCTGCTTATAACTTGGAAGTTTGGCGTGCAATGTAGGGAAAAAGATCAAGAAACACCGTGTTATTAACATCGATCCATCTATACACATAGGATGTTTTAATGCCAATATTCTAAAATATTCTGGCCCAGTTTTATTTTGCACCAGAGTGGCCCCAAGTTACTGCTAGTTGTATTTAGTTTGTGAATAGAAGCCCATAAGTGTTAATAGACTTTGTAACATTCACTGTAAGATGAATTATACAGGACATGGGAAATCTCATTAAGTCTTAAAGTTAATTTAAATTAATTTATCTGTTTTCTCTAAGAAATGTTTATCATAAAATATATATGTTTGTTTCCCCTTTGGTTATAAAATTTGGGAAAGTGTGTACAAGTGCAGCTGCACTGACTTTAATTTTCTAGATGTCTTAATGAGATTTGTTTTAGAAAAGAACAACTCGTGAAGAGCATCAAGTTCTGTCTTACATGGCTGTCAGCAGCCTCTTTAAGATGTGGTGGTTGTGTGATCTGTGTCATAGTTGTTCAGTTAGAGTGAGAGGTGGACCTGTGAATCGTTCTTAAATTTTATGTGTGGAACAAAGCTGCGAAGTTATGGTAAAGTACTGTACCGTGAGAAACTATTACAATATTTAATACATCTGTGGCTTAACACTTGTGTTACCAGCTTGAAAATGTTGGTGTTGACTACCTCTTGAATTACTTAGTATCTGTCAACCACTGGCACCCACCACCAAGCTGGCTTTAATTAGTACGTGTTGCTTTTTGGTATTAACAACTCTAACCATACTAGAGACCAAAGTGAACACTGATTTCTGTATGTCTTTAATATGGTGTTTTATCTAGTGTTTTTAAATTATCCTGTGTAGTAATTAGATTACCTCATTGTCCATTTTGGCTCATGTTGTTTACAAGTGAAAATAAAAAACACTTGAACTGTATGTTTTTAAAGGACAAAAAAGGAGTAGATGTTCGGAATGGCATTTCACTCATGTACAGTCATCTGGATGGACTAGAGTACTGTTAGCCTTTCTGCAGACCATGGATTTTATATTCTCATTTCATGCCTAATGTCTTATCCTGTCAATTATGGATATTTTGAGGTTTAAAAAACTACTTGATTAAAAAATAAAACATATAGCGTTGGCATTTATGATGACTTTTCGAGATTTTTCATGATTTGTATGATCATTCAATTAAAAGAATGGCTAAAAGGCCATTTAGGCAGTATCTACACCTATCTGAACATAACCTTCAGATATCCGTGATTATAAATACGGAACTTAAGACAATACAGATGGTGAATAAAGTCAGTCTAAATATTGAGGAAAGGTGGGTCCTGTCCTCATAAGGAATCACCCTGCATTAGCTAATATGGAGTGTGCAAGCATGTGAGTCAAGACACATACTTCATGTAGTCCATGAAAAGTGGCCTGAAAACAAAAATGTTCAAACCCTTTTGGAAAAACCATTTTAGAATTTTCCTACAATATTTTCCTAATCATTTTAAAGTATTTGAAAAGGACAATCAAAGCCAGGTTATACAAGTACCAAATATCTAAAATGTGAATGTAGATTTATCAAACTATGTATACAGTATTAGCGTACTATGAAAACAATTTGATAAAACTGTTGTGTTCTATAAATTGACCAGTCTGACAATTAAACTCATTTTCATTTCCACTCTACACCTGGATGATTCACTTTTCCTTTCTTTTTCT